ATAATATGCATCATAATACTATGAAAAAAATTAAAACTTCAAAGGCAACAGATGAATATATTTAAGTATATAGGGAGGAATTTTATATATCCTAAATATGCTAATCAAAATATATATTCAATTTTATCGTATATGTTATTATAATTAGTGTTTCACTATATGTGGGTATGTCTTCAACGAAATTTATGTAATACGATAATTTTATGATGAAATTGAAAGGAAAAAATGTCTCTAATATGAAAATTTTATAAATAAGAATGCGAGATATTCAATTCGTTTACCCAAAAAAAAAATTATTCATGTATGCCAGAGTTGTATATGTAGACTATCGTATAGAATTTTAATTTTTTAATAATTAATTCTACTGAATACACAATTATTAATAATGCAATTAATCAGAATAAAGCTCGTTGTAAAATTGAGAGTAGAAAATACAATAATAAAATCTTATAAAGGAATTTCATTCATTTTAATAAATATTCATAAACTTTAGTAAATTATTAGAATTTGAACTTGTACTAACTAAATTAAGTAAAAACTGGTAAACTATAAAAACTATAATTATACTGAAATATTTTGTGTATATGAAAAAAATAATAGAAGATTTCTTGCCTTATATTCAACTATTTTGTAACAATTTAGAAAAAATTATTAATGTAGATCGAACTTAGATCAAAAGGTTATCCCAACTTAAATTCTCAAATTTTATTTAGTAAATAGCTAGAATTATAATATCCGTTTATAAATATTATAAACGGATTAACATATAAATATTTTTTGAGTAATTCTAGACATACAAATTTTCATATTGAACTCAACGTTCTATAGAAAAGAAGTAAAATGGTTCAAATCTAGATCAGCTAAAACAAGAATTACTGAATTCAGCTTAATATTAAATTTCTGATTTAAATTTAAAAATAGTATTGAAATATTACAAATTTTAAACATCTTGCTTAAATAATTACAAAATATCTTTGGAATATAAAAGCATATAAATTTAAATAAATGGTAGCACGTGAACGATCAACCCAATGAAGGGCTGACGACAGTGTGGAATATCAAAGACTGGTAAAAAAATTTCAACCTGTAATACATTCAATAGGTAATTTTAAATTTCTTTTATGGTCTTATATTAAATTTTTTAATGTGTTAAAATTTTAGGTTCGGAAGAAAACTTGCGCAATAAGATTCATAGGGATCTCATCAACTTGGTTTTCGTTGTGATTTAAAGTTGTTTCTTTCTAGGAAATGATTTTTGCCTTCGATATCACGAAAGAACATAAGATGATTTCAACAATTTATGTTTGAATTGAATTAGATTTGAAAATAGTATTGCTGTGCAATATGGAATATTATTGTTACAATAGGAATTAGAAAGAATAAAAAATTTTGTTCCTCTTTAAGAAATTTTAGACATATCCAATTTTAGTACAATTCCAGCTCAACAGATATTATTTTACAAACTAATTTGTTTTTAACAAAATTTGTCTTATTAATACTTTTTAGAAATTTGATTATTGAATTGTAAAACTGAAATGAAATAAAGCATAAGGTTCCCAAAATTTGTCGCATTTTCTGATTTCTAGGAAAATTCAGAGTGAGAATTCTAGGAATCTAAGTACCTCTTGTCCTGATTTGACTGTAAATTTTATAACATCTATACTTTAGTTAATATTAATATTAAAATAAAAAATTTCAATTCTACAAAATTTTTAATAAATCTAAACTTAATTACAAACTTTTGCATTCTAAACTAACACTTCATTCATGAACTCATTACTCAATTAAAAATTACTCATGTACGTCACATACAATCAAAAATAAAATTACCCAAATTTAAACAATTATTATGTGTGTATATTTGCACCATATAGTTAGCAACACTAAGTTAAACAATAATGGTAAATTGATAAATAAAAGAAAAAGAAAATTTCATTTATTCTTAATTATTTTTGCCCCCCTCCCTTTCCCCCTCCCACCTTCTTAAAAACCCGGGTATAAACATGTCATTGTTACCATTTTTTACTCTCATATATAAACTTAAAAGACAAATATTTGTAGAGTTTCCATGACGTAAAGTTTTCATCATTTTCTAAAATGTCATTTTAAGCTTAATTGTTATTTCTTATGTAAACTTCATAAAATTTTTAAAAAGTGTAACATACATACAAATTGTATTACAAAGAAATTTCTATATAAATTAAAAAACATTAGAAATTATTTAACTTTTGAATAAAGAATCAAACAAGTTAATCGAAATTTTATGATTGAGGTCGTTGCAATGTTAGCTTTGAAGAATATGAATTATAAATTGAATACACAAGAAAATAATACTTACATACATTTATACAAAGTTAGATTAATTTGTTTCAAGTAAATTAAATTGCGTAGGTTGGTTATTTGCATCATAAGACACATGTGTTTTGATTTTTTGCAAAACAATCTCCCCATATGCGAATGAGTAGGGTTAAAAATTTATTATAAATAATTTTTACTTGTTAATTGAAAGCTTAAAATTTTCTAAATCTCTATTATATAACAATATTACAAAATGTATGAATTTTGCAATTGTACAATTAAACTTTTCTGATTCATTCTAATAATTTCTATTAAGAATTTCGCAATATTATTTGCGACGACGATTAGAATAAGAGAGAATTAGTGAGAATTGGAGCTTTTATTGTGCATTTTAAATGGTAGATCTACAATAGTTGTGATAGTTGTACAACAGTAGAACAATTTTTTTCACAATAACAGAAACAACTAATTATATTAGAGTTGTTATTATTAATAAAAACTTCTTAGAATAAAGTAGGCATGGAAATTTTAAATAATGGAAAAAATAAAAGGTAATTTTCCTACACAATTTACTACACAGTTTTTCTGAATTCATTAAAATATTTCAATAAATTCTTATGCATCTCATAATGTTTTCTAATAATTATTTATAAAAACAAATTTTAATTATATATAATAGAGAAAAACAAATATAGTAATTACTTATTAAGTGGTAAAATTAAATATAATTGAATAGAAATAAAAAAAACGTGTTATTAATTGTGCGTAATGGAAGCGAGCTGGCAATTAAATAAAGAAATAGGCATAGCTCAACTCTGTACTCAAAAATGGACTTTAAACTTATTGAAATTAAATTCACAAACAAGTATATAAGCTAGAGTTTTCTATAGGGGCCTAGTAATTTTTAATTTCCTATGACTATAATAATTATACATCTGACCATTAGTGCAGTGGTTATGGCACCGGCCCTTTAACCGAAGGGTCTCCGGTTCAAACCCCGGTCAGGTCACTATAAAAATTATATTCAATATTATATAACTTAATATGCAATACTAATAAATATTATGCAAGTAATTTTCAAATATTCATAATATTCGATACTAAAAGACTAAGAAAAATAAACAGTTATATAAATATAACTTTTATATAAATAACAGTTATATAAATATAACTTTTATATAAATAACAGTTATATAAATATAAAGTTTAATATAAATAAAAAAACTACGGTAGGCTAGTCACCTACCTAGCTAACTCTCTATGACTATAGAAACTAGGGCATGATAGATATCATGCACTAGCCCTTTACTCCTCCTAGGAGTGAAGAAGGAAAAAAAAAATTTTTATACATACTTGCCATAATAATGAAAAATTTAGACACGTGAAAAATGATTTCTTAAGTTATTGTTGTGTAATTAGGAAAATTCAAAATAAAGGACACCGGAATTTTCAGAGACTGAAAGCAAATTTGTTTTTTCACAAAAAAAAAAATTATATCGCACATTGGGAAGAATAACGACACAACTCAAAAATATGACTTCGACTTCCAGAACTTAAAATGTTTATAGCCGAGTGTAAATTACTATCGAAGGCTAAAATACGTTGGTATAGAACCATTTTACACTTTATATGAACAAATTTTTTGTATTATTTTGTTACCGGAAAGCTTTATATATTCAAATATAATAGTAATTAAAGTAAATTTGCGACTCTGCATTATGGTTTATATCATTGTTCTCGCAAATATGCGATATGTGAAAAAAAGGTGATTAATCAATTATTCCATTTGATGAATTAGAATCTTAAACAAATCTAATTTTTTAATGAAATTAATTGAAAATTTACAATTAATCATTTCTATTTACAATTAAATTTTAAGAAAATCTAAATGTTAAAATTTTAATTGAACATAAGATAATCAGAGTGTCATTATTTATAGAACATAGTATATGAAAAAATATAATCAACTGAAACTGAGCTTTTATTCTAAGCGGCGTGCACCACATTTCTCACAAATACACCACGAGTAAAAAATTAAATAATTATAAGTTGCTGATTTAGTGCTTGGTACATTTTATATTAAGCAAGTTTTTTAATATTTTTAGAAATAATTTTTAATACTTCTTTTACGAATTAGCCCTTATCTTTAAATATTGAAATTGGCATTGACATTATTTTAGGTTATTTTTAACTGAAAATTATTATTTTATTATCATTCAATTTCGGAGAACTATGAAACAGATTCAGAACTACTCCATGAACCGCAGAATTAAAAATTTCTCAGACGTAGAGGTTAACCAATTATAGTAAAATAATATTACATTATACAAAGTCGCTTACAATTTATTGGTTAGCCTTATGTTTAAGTCTTAAAATTTGGAGGCCGTGTAGGAGTAAATATTTCATTGAAATTTGTAAGGCGCAGCTTTCTAGTATTTAAAACTCGAAATTTCCGATTCAAATATTGCTTTTTAAAAAAACTGATGTGTGGGGCTTGTTGAAACCAGCCATTATACCGACGCAATATAAAATTTTGTTATTTTATGTGAAAAAATCTTTTATTTTTGTCAATAAATTAAATATTGTCGCTGGGACATATTATGTTGAGGTACATTTTTATTTTAATTCGATTAAAGGACTTATAGTCCAATAAAAATTAACAATTAAATAATAAATATTTTATATATTAAAAGAAAACTTACCTTGCTCAGTTACAATTCTCACAAATTAGATAAGATGGAAATAAAATTCTATATTAAAATGAATTAATTTGAAAATTTTAAATTAAAAAAATTTTTTAATACAAATAATACAATATTATAGAGCACAGTAATTAATTAAAATAATTTAATTTTCACTAATTTTATTAATTAATTCAAATTCACTTTTACGTATATATGAAATATATTTTATTAAAATAATTTTAGAAATACATATATACAAATTTTACAATTTTAAACAATATTGTTGTGTGTTTTTATTTTTCCCCCGATTTTTTAATCCTTACAACTTAAATCTTAATAAAGAAGTAATTGAAATTTGCAAATGTAACTTACTTTTATAAGAAATTATAGGTCATATCAAAAACGTCAAATATATATATATACACATAATATATTTCTGCATAACTGTACTTATATATATTATGAGGAGTGAAAGTTAAAATTGAAAGACGTGTGCTGTTTCACGTGATGAATTTTTGTTACATTTTTGAAAAACTTCAATCAATAGCAATATTGTGCAATAATAAGAATTTGAAAAGAAAAATTGAAGTCCTTTCCATATTGATATTACGAGTATTATATAGAAAATGTTACAAATATATAACGAGCGTTGCTTTATACCATGCCCCCTTTAAATAAATAAGCGATTACTGACCCAAACAAAAAATTCCGGTGTAATTAATATTAAGTTATTAATAAAATTATGGTATGGTGAATAAAAAATATGGTATATTGAGGCAAATATATCAGTTCCTCTCATTCATCTAAATCCAGCCGTCATATAAAAATCCAAGAAATTCTTATATATTAAACATTAGAAACATGCATTTTGATAATTTATAACTCCAATATTTACAAGTGACATTTCGGAAATCAGCCTTATTTATAATACCTATACGATATAATAAGCGTGAAAAAATTAACTTAAATATTATATTTTCCTATAGCTTTTTCATTATCATTATTGGCTTGATCTACTCATTTCTTATTCGGTTATTCATGTCCTTTCATTACAATTTTTTTATTATCATATCATTTTTTTTTATTTTTTTGTTTCTTTTTGCAAAATTATTTCGTTTTTCTTTTCCCAACAAGCATTTTAAACTGCTTAAAATGCAATATAAGTAGGTGAAATCAAATAATCAACTTTGGCAGTCTTATCCATGCTCAGTGAAGTCTCATATGTTACCGTCTTTAATGGAACATTTACAATTTAAATAAAAGTGAATTCTTAAGCGAATCGAAGCAAATCGAATCAAATAATCTAAACGAATCGACCAAACAAGATTAATTATGCCAAAATGTATAACATGCATTCAGGTATACTCATTTCTAATCTTCTTATATTTGGCACACAATTTCTTAATACCAAATAACATGGTTGAAATCAGAAACGTACTTAAGAAAAACAAAAGTACTAAAATTTAATATTTACTAAAATAAGTACTAAAATACAAAAGTACTAAATTTTGATTTAAAAACCTTGCTTTTAAAGAATCTAGATTATATTATAAAAATAAAAGTATCATATGTTACCGTCTTTAATGGAACATTTACAATTTAAATAAAAGTGAGTATGTATGTACATAATTAAATCAAATTTAATCTAAAATCAAACACTTAAATTTGTTTTATTCAGCTATTCAAAATTTTTCTGCCGAATGACGTCAAATTGACCGAATTTCTTAAATTGTCTGCATTTAGGTAAATAATCTACTCTTAAATTTTAGTCTCTAATTTTTGCTTTTATTTGCCTAGATTATTTTACGAAATAATTATGAATTTCAAATACCGAAGCCTAATCATATTGACAATTTGAAATATAATTGGCGGAAAGTAATCAATGTGATGGTTAAAATTCATAAGAGCAAAGTTGTCGATTTTTTAATCAAATTTGTTATTCGGGTTTTTTTTTTATTTTAAATTATTACTGAGTAAAAATTCATGACATTTTGGTCCGAATGTAATAAATGGCTATAAAAAACAAGTGAAGAGAAAAATTATTTTCTTTTTACTATGCATATTTTCTAATAAGAATAAATTTTATATTTAATGTTGGTGAATGATGAAACAAAATGCACCATGGGTGGTAAATTATTCTCGCTTGCTTATACTTATAAAGACACTTGCTTAAACTCTATTTTTATTAAATTACATAAGTAAGAAAATTATGAATGTCCTTTTTTATAAGTCTAGGCATAATTACAAAGCTCTTTTCAAATAATACGCATGAAATTTTCATATTATATTTAGATATTATTTCATACATACTTAGAATATTATAGGAATTTTGAAATAAATTTTATAGTATAAGGTTGCTAAAAAATAATAACAGTTTCTTCTTTTTTTATTATTAGATTATTGTTTCTAAAAAATTTTCATATTACTTGTTACTTGCTTTAGAATTTCATTTTAAAAAAAAGAAAATTATTTGTGTATGTGTGCAGTCATGTGCATAGATTTATTTAAATAAAATTTTGGTCCAAAATTTAATTCCAAATTTTTCTTTTAATTTATATGCCTTTAAAAAGAAATTTCAGGAAAATTTCGACGTATTGTGCATTTTTGATAACCCTATTCTTTATAATTACAACATTTAGACACTATATACCTAATAACAAAGACAAGATTTTAAGAAAATTTTAATGTTACAATTTAAACCTATAAGTAAACTTATTAGAAGGGACATTTGATATATTACTAAAAATTTTGTAAAGGTATTACAAATTCTCAGGTATAAAGAGACACTTTTTTATTACCCGATTCTGCAAAGAGTTCTTTTATTAGGTATGAGGAAAGTATAACTAAATTTGACATTATTTTTCAGAATAATATCAAAGAACTACATCTTTTACAGGTTCCTTAAAAGAACAAGATGACTCTGATATGCAAGCTCTAATTCAATGCATAATGATCACTAGGCTGCACCAGGTTTGTGTAAAGTATTAAACTATAAGCTTCAATTTAATAATAATAATAGACTTAGTTAATAATTATATTAATTAAATTATTAAAAATACTTTATTTTTTTCATTTAAAAATATGAAAAACCCTACATTTTCTGAATCAGTTTAAAAGATAAATTTAAACGCAGATTTCTATATATAAAAAATTTATACAAAAACATTCCTTAATACTTCCAAATAATATGTTTTCCGTAGATAATTGACAAAATATTGTTACAAACCAAATCCGAAAATTATCCGAGAATTTACTTTTAAAAAATTGAAACTATATGAGTATATATGTAAGTATGTATGTATGCATATTAAAATCCCAGATCGTACTCGGGATGGGATGTGATAAAAAGTGTAAAATACGTACATACATAAATATGTAAATAAAACGTACGATATAAACTTTTTCAAGTCGGATCAGTATACCATACCTAGACCTAGTTATAACTACATATTTTGAATATTGAACTCCAACTGAAAATTTTGATCTTTTCAATTTTCGGAATTTGATAGACTTAAAACTTAATTGATCTTATTAATTTTGAAGCAGCTATGTGCTAATTTTAATGCTTCTTTAATCTAATTCAAAATTTTATATGGAAAATTGTAATTTTGAAAAATCGTGGTATTTAGATCAAACTAATTTTCATGGGCGTTAATTCTGCGTCAATTCGTAAATTGTTAATTTCTATTTAAAATTTTGAGTTCGACGGAACTGCAACAAAACAGTGAATTCAACTTAAACGACTGAGTATTTCTATGTAGGTATCAAGTACATCAATATATAATATGTATTTTATAATTTTTTAAATTTATAACTGTGGAAACTGAAGTTTCCAAGCAAAAATACTAACTATGAAATACAAAAAAAAAATTCGTTATTAATTTTCATTAACTCTGAAAACGTATTTATAAAAAATTATGACTCAAATTTAATTATTAAGACAAGTACGCCGCTAATGCCTAAACTATGCTCGGTAAGCTGTCCAAAAATTTAAAAATAAATTTAAATTGACGATATAAGCACATTCAAATTTGTGGAACGTAAATTATCGACAAATGTTTTGGTTTGAATCATCGCTTAATATTTAAATTTAGCAATTTCAGAAAATTTTAAATTAAATTATAATTCAGAGTCATCTAATGAGAAATACAATAATTATTATTCATTTATAAAAAATTTTGACATTTAGTTTGTTTATAAATATTTGCAGTGAAAGTTCAATAATCTGCTGACTCGTAAAACAAAAGAAATAATAAATCTTTGATAATTTTACAATAAATAAATTAACAAAAGATAAAATATGAAAACTTTTTTATATATAGAAGAAGATTGAAATTTATTTTAATCAAAGATGCTGTCGAATACAATGTCGATTAAAATTCGACACGGGATTTTAGATTTAGTTAATAAAAATAGATCTTCAGCCATTATTATTAATGATAGTTACATTCTTGCCTCAGCGTTCATATTAAATCCAGTTTTTATTTCATTGTTCACAAATGAAAAGGATGAAGAACAATTGAATAACTTCAAAAATAAAATCAATAAACAACTGATAAATGTAGATGAAGATCCGTTGTATAATGAACTGAAATTGGAATTATTCACAATTACTTTCGACAGAAGAAAACCTACTGACCGGAATAGTAGAATTCTAACATGTTATAAAGCCAAACTTTTATATATTTTTAATTCAATTGAAATAAGAGAATGTTTTCAAAATATTTTATCCAAGTTAAAATCAGAAAGTGAATTAAATAATGAATTGAAATCATTTTTACACTCTTCGTTTTTAATTCTGCAGTTGATTAAACCAAATGAAGCAATTAAAAATGTGAATTTAAAAAGCTTTATCAAAAATATGTTATCATATTCTAATATAACAAATAACTTACATAAAACGGATGAAGTAATGGCAATATGTTCTCCATTTGGAATAGAAAATTTTTATAAAACTATTCATTTCGGAAAAATTTCAAATATATTAGGACGAAACAGCTGTTTATTTATCATATCTAATTCACTACCCATTGGCTGTGAAGGTTCTGCAGTATTTAATAACAGATTGTAACCGTTTTTCTATATACAAATATATTTTTTTTTTTAATTTAATTAAATTCTCAAATTTAGAAAACTAATTGGCATATTAATTTGTACCAGTTTAAGCAATGGAGACGAAAACATAAATATTACACTTGCAGCCAACTTTCATTATATTTTTAAGAGTCTAGCATTCCAATTTGGAGTTCACCTTGAACATATAGGTTCAAAGATCACCTTACCTACTTGTAAGCAAAGCAATTTAATTGTAAAAACCTGTTTATTGTATAATTTTATTATAGGGGAAAAAAGTTTAGTAATAATTTTCTGCAATGGCCAACAAGGAACTGGGACGCTAGTTAAAGTTTTAAACAGGAAATTTATTTTGACTTGTTCTCATGTCATAAATGTATGTTCATATGTAATTAAGATTTAGTTTTTCATTTTAGTTTTTTAAATTTATGAAAAACAAAAAAACAATTTTACATGCAGGATAACTCTTCAATTATTAATTGTCGCTACATAGATGGTACATTCCCTTCCGAAATAATATGGAAAAATCCAAACTTTGACGAACCATTTGATGTGGCCATTTTATCGGTTCCGGATTACATATGCGATGATTATTTTGTTTCATTGTCGGATAATAGACCATACCTTGGGCAAAATATTTTTAACGCTGGCTTCCCATTTTTTACGAATACACAGGAAAAAAATTTTGCACCCGGCATTTTTGAAGGACGAGTCATAAAATACAAACCTGGATGTATTATAGCAGATGCTACTTTGCAAGCAGGTCAAAGTGGGGGTCCTATGTTTGCTGAGAATGGAACCATTCTTGGAATTTGTGTTTCTAATTTGAAATTAGAAAAAACTGTATTTCCGAATGTAAATACTTCAATTCCCGCATGTGATATTAAATATGTTATTGAGAAATTTGCAAAAACTAATGGTAATTTTTTGGTAATACTCGTACTGAATACACCTTATTAAATAAACACCTTTTTTTTAGATATTTCCGTGTTAAATAAGTTAATAGCTTCACCAGAGGTTAAAAAAATTTGGTCTCTTGATTGTCCAATTATTGATTGCAAATTGTAATTCGTATATTTTTGTTTAATTTCATTTAAATAAAATTTTCTTTCAATATTAAAACTGTTTTTTGCTTTGCAGCTTTAGGAAAACATTGAAAATTCTAATTAATTCATAAATGCAATAATTAGATCTTAAATGTTTTCCCATATTAGTTCAATAATAACTCAAAACCGCATCTGGTACAAAAACCAAGCAAATTTATTACCCAATTTATTTAAATTCAATTCATTTTACATAAATATTAAAATTAAAAAAAGGAGTTCAATTTAAACTACGTACCTGGCCTTTTGAATTCTTATTAAAAGAACAAAGGAAGTACCTAACCAAATGAACTAAGTAATTTTTATTTTTCTTTTTCTTTCCTTAACATACAAGGGTTTTTTGTCCGTTCTATTAAAAAACGTACAGCACTGTCAAAGGCCGACATTAAGATACATGTTTTTTTGTGTTTATATAATTTTAATCAATTTGTTCAATTTGAGTGGTTTTTTTAATTTCGGTTTTTTTTTATTTAAATTATTTTAATTTTATATAATTTTTTCCTGTTCTTTATGAAAAATGTTGTAACTTGAGGAGTTGGTTGTTGAAGTTCCTAATACACTTTATTATTCTTTATAGTTTTATGAAATTATATTACTATATAAGACGAAGTTTAACTGTAAAGGTCGTCATCGCCATTATCACCGGGGGGATTTGAGGGTTGATTTGGACCTGTACCTTGAGATGACGATCCTGCGCTAGATGGAAATCTACAAAGATGTGTTTCCAATTACTATTTACATAAATATTTTTTATTGTGTATATAGTTACCTGAAATTAGAACCAAATCCACGAGATTGTTGCAAAGTTTGGGCGAACATTTCATATTTACGAATATCGTTGTCAGATACTGATCTACGGGCAAATTTCATAGCTTCTTCAAAATGACCTCTTGTAATTTCGGGCACCGGATCATCTTCATCCATCTAAAAGAATAACTTCTTTAAAATTTCATTTCATTTCAAAAACTTTAACGTACGTCCATAGCCGAGCTTTGATTTCCAGCTCTTTCTCGTTCTCTTTTAATTTCTGCTTCAATAGCTTGTCTAATAGCCAATTTGCATGCACGCTGACAGATTTCTGTCAAATCTGCTCCAGAAAAACCTTGAGTGACCTTTGCAATAAAGCCAAGATCAACTTCTTTCGCTAGAGGTGATTTTCTTAAATTGGCTTTTAAAATTGCTTCACGGGATTTTTCATCTGGTAATGGAATATATATTAACTGATCTAAGCGACCAGGACGTAGTATAGCTGGGTCAATGATGTCTGGCCTATTCGTAGCTCCAATAATAAATACATTTTTTTTAGCTCCCATGCCATCCATTTCAGTTAAAATTTGATTAATCACACGATCGGCCGCTCCTCCAGCATCACCTACATTTCCGCCACGAGATTTAGCAATAGAATCAAGTTCGTCGAAAAACAACACACATGGCGAAGCGGATCGTGCTTTATCAAATATATCACGAACGTTAGCTTCAGACTCACCAAACCACATTGTTAATAACTCAGGACCCTATCATACAATTGTGCAAAATTAGTAAATATAAAAATTTGATTTGTAATGTGTTTATTTTTATGTTACCTTCACAGAAATAAAATTGGCCTGACATTCATTTGCGATTGCTTTGGCCAATAAAGTTTTACCGCAACCTGGTGGACCGTAAAACAGCACACCACGACTTGGTTGCATGCCAAACTTTAGGAATTTATCGGGATGTTCAACTGGATATTGCACCAATTCTTGTAATTCCCGCTTGACATTTTCTAACCCGCCAATATCGTTCCAAGTCGTGTTTGGAACTTCAACTACGGTTTCTCGTAACGCTGAAGGACTTGATTTAGTCATAGCATATCTAAAGTTATCCATTGTTACAGCTAATGAATTCAAAACATCGGCCTCGATCTTATCATCTTCTAAGTCAATAAGGTCCATTTTCTCACGTATCTGTTGCAAAGCTGCTTCGGAGCATAGTGACGCTAAATCAGCTCCAACATGTCCATGGGTTTCAGCAGCAATTTGCTCTAAATCTACGTCATCATGTAATCGCATATTTTTAGTGTGGATTCTTAATACTTCTAATCGACCAGTTGCATCTGGAATGCCAATGTCAATTTCCCGATCAAAACGACCAAAACGGCGCAAAGCAGGATCGATTGAGTTTGGCCGGTTTGTTGCCGCCATCACAATTAAATGCGAACTTTTCTTCATCCCATCCATCAGTGTAAGCAATTGTGACACAATACGGCGTTCAACTTCACCATGTGTCTTATCGCGCTTTGGTGCTATTGCGTCTATTTCATCAATAAATATTATAGCTGGAGAATTTTTTTCGGCTTCCTCAAAAGCTTTTCTTAAATTAGATTCAGATTCACCTGCCAATTTCGACATAATTTCTGGACCATTTATTAAGAAAAAGAATGCGCCTGTTTCATTAGCTACAGCTCGGGCAATTAGAGTTTTACCCGTTCCAGGAGGCCCATACATTAATATTCCTCGCGGAGGTTTTACTCCTATCGCTTTAAAAAGCGACGGATGGCGCAGTGGCAGTTCAACCATTTCCTTTATTTGGGCCAATTGTTTTCGACAACCACCAATATCATCATATCCAACTGCATTCAAAGACTCTTCTTCCTCCTCACGTTTAATTGGATCACCATCACAAAATATGACAGTGTCAGGTGCAACAATACAATACGGTTCAGGATCTGTTAAAACAACTTTAAATTCAATAGCTCGCATTGCACCACGTACTACAAAATTATCTCCCATGTGAATGGGCCGATAAGCTTCCAAAAAGTATGGTTTCAAATAAACATCAAACAGATTCCTAATGAGAAAAAATTAATTTTTTTTTCTCCAAGGGATTAAAAGTAGATTTAAAATTTACCCAGTTATTCCTTCAACCGTGTCATCAATAGGTAAGATACGGACCCGCTTTCCGTATTTCACATCTGGACATGATTGAATTGATACAACGTCAGAAAGATGCACACACAGATTGTTTCTTACCTTTCAAATTTAAGTTTATTTAAACAAAATGTTTCATTTATCATTTTCATAATACTTACTACGCGATTCATGCGAATTTTTTCATCCGGACAATTTTCATCAGACAAAACTATACAAACAGTTTCTTTCCGCCTTTTTCCTTTTAATAGCACAGTATCCCCGCGGAATAACTGTAGTTCGTCCATTTTTGTCTGTAAAAGTATTAATTAGGTAATTTCAAAGAAATATTAAGTTATGTAGTAATACTTGGTAGGTACTACCCACTTAATAGCCAAAACTAATTGCAAACTAGTTTCAAAACTAATGTAGAATTTTATAAAAAATAACTAATATAAATAAGAATTTAGTTATATCCTTATTGTTTTTTAAGTGAACTTGAAAGTTGTTTTGGTTAGTGATTCATTAGTTAATTTCATAATTTTGAATACTGTAAAATTACTTATGCATATTATACAATATTGCTTTTCATACAACTGTTAAAATGGACGTTTTGCTTATATATTTACTTATAAACTTACTTGAGATAAAGACACAACGGAGTTATCATCATTTTCGGCTTCGTCTACAAGAAGTCTATTCGGGCGGTCTTTTCTCTTCAGAATGGCGGTAGCCAAATCATCCGGACTGAAATTAAAAGATTATATATCATAATTTTTAAGTTATTAAATTAATTTATATAAATTAGTTTTATTTTTAATTGCAAAGCTTGAGTTTCTTTTTATAAGAATATCTAAAATTTTTGCCAAGTTAGCATAGCAGTTCATTTCAAATTTTTTGTTCAACTATCTTATGCCAATATATGTATGTATGTAAGTTACAGTGAGGTTATACTCACTATATTTGTAGAATAAGTGGAAATAAATATCCCTATTACAAATTTGGATATATTTTTGATTTTCCTCACTTATTACATTAATTTGTAACTTTTATACAGGTTTCTATAAACTCTAAGAGAGTTTTTCAACAAATTTCATGAACATGACAAGCAAAATTCAATGTATGTATAGAGCTGTCGGCTTTGTTCCAATTATTAAAAAAATGTCTTTTATTGCAAATTAACACTTTTATATTGAAAATTTCTTACTTTTTTGAGTCACCCATAACTTTTACGCGTACAATTTAAAAAAATTTCAGACTTGAATTAATATAGTTAATATTTAAATATAAAAATTAAAATTTCCAAACTAATTTAATCTATGCAATATTCTTTGCTTCTGATAAAATCACCAACCAAATTTTCGTTATAGTTGCCATATACTATAAAAATATTTGATTAACACGTCTGCCTTTTTGTATATTGGAAGAGTTCAGAAAAGAAACTAATTTTAAGAACTGTATGTTGTCTACAATTACATGTACCATTTTGAATCTGATCTAAACATACTGTACCAATTAGTAATAAATTTTAATGGAAAAATGAGTATCATAGCAAGTTTGAATACTTAAAACTATTATTACATACACAATGAAAAGTAAGCAACACAAACGAAAGAAAATTTTTAGAAAATTAGTTTGGTTTTCATTATTGACTCTATATAATCCCATAGACTCTAATAATCTATATCAACCATGTCAAAATATTAATTTAAACTTTTGCCAAAAAAAAAGAAGTTTCGTTGCAGGTCAAAATATTTGAAAAGTAGCTAAGTTCCTTTGCAATACAAACATATAACTAACACGTAAAAGTATTTTTAATAAATATTTTTATAAAAGAAAAGGTCAGAAAAACATCTAAACGTAAGCAACATATATTACATAAATTTTTCAAAGCGGTTCTGAGATCGTGTTTGAACTAAAAAAATGTTTTATAATTTTTGAATGAATTCTGTTCAAAAGTCTCTAAATCTCTTCACAAAACAAAAATGAAATAATAACTCAATTTTGATATACAGTAAATCACGAAGCTATTTTTGAAAAAAACTTGATTAATAGAATTATTTTTTGACAAGGTCAAAATAGATGATAAAATTTATTCCTATCAAAATGGTAGAAAAAGATGACATTTCTGTCATACATTTTATTTTCAATTTTAAAGCAGTGCACTTTAACATGTAGTGTTTATATCTTAGTAATTTAAGATTTAATCTAAGATCGAACCTATTAATCCAAGGACCTGCTCGTCTATCGCGCTGTTTTACTTGGCAAGTGAGAAGAAAGTGAGTAACTATTATATATTTTTGTACAATTTTCGAATGAAAAGAATTATCCGTTATTGCGTCGAATTGAAAAAAATCTTATTGGAAAATGTCATTAGAAAAAACGGAGAATTCTGTTTGAAAGTGAACAAAAAGTGAGTAACAAAAGCAACATACACGGCTGTAAGTCTGGTAGATAAACCGCCTTTAGAATTTAGCGCAGATTTGATCTTAGATAATTTCTTTACGTGCCGTTAACATATAGGTTAATCGCACACGTTAAGAAATATTGACGCATTATTTTAAATTTTTTTATTTGCATTTTTGTTTGTCGAAATTAAACTTTTGTTTTTAAAAATTAAAAGTCAAAAATCATTAAGCTCGCTTTAAGAAATAAATATAATTTGAAGGATTTGGTTTTTTTTTTTTTCAATTGAACACTACGCAATTGCAAGCAGCACGCAGCCATTAAATTTTGTGACACGAAATAGATCTTTGTACATTTGTATTCTTTAGGCGTTATTGTATTCTTATACAACTGATGTAAAGTATTAGAGTTCATTTCAACTGTTGTCTATAGAACTTTGTAGTTTAAATGTAAAAAGGTCCAATTGGTCTTCAACTCCAAAAGCTTTAGTTTTGTTTACGAGAGAAATTACGAAAGAATTACTTTTTTATGAAGCCTTTTCTGTTTTCGTTTAAATTTTTTATTCACGTTTCGCTGATGTTTCGACATTGACTGGTCGCTAACGTATTTTGCATATAAACTTTATCTTACAAAATCATATTTCTTTCGAGAATCGAAATCAAGTAAAAAATCTATTAAGTTGGATAGACTGTTTAAAAGAGCTTTTATTAATATTAAGATTGTTTGTTTCCAAAATAATTTTCGGTTGTTGAAATTGACTGTGTTTTGTTTTATAAATTCAAAATTCCTTTACTTCACATTACAGTTTGTTGTATAAAAATGTCTGATCAAAATAAAAGTAAAAGCATGTTTACTAAATCTTCGGAGCAACTTAATAAACAGATTTTGGAATATTATTATAAATTTGGACAGAATCGAGATCTAGAAAAGTATTTGAGACTGAATACAAAAACTAACAAATCATCTAGTGAAGGTAGCTTGAGTGGCCTATCTAAATATTCAAGCGATATTTATACTAAAAATGAGGGTCGGCAAGCAAAATCGTTAGATTATTTTGAAAATATAACAAATAGTGACGAAGCGCAATGCGATGAGAAATTTGGAGATAACATATTGGAATTTGAAAACTTATCAATAGAAAATGAAGGTGATAAATTAAATCAAAAAGAAAACACAAGTTTAAAAAATTTTTCAACCGAAATTGATTTGAATGATACGTGCGATTCAAGCAAAAAATCTGCAAAACGAAATTTGATTGGTGACTGTAATAAATCTCTTAAAAAAGACAAGTCAATAGATTTGAAACTAGTCCAAAGAGAAAATAAAGTCAAAGCAAATTCAAACTTAGGCCAAAAAGAAAAATTATTAGAGTGGGATTCGCTTGGCGATGTCGGCTATAATAAACCATTTGAAAGCTCCAATCTATGTAGGTCAATGTCAACTATAGAACGATCAGTATTGAAAGGATTTTTCGCAGATAAAGGTATAGAAATTAGTTTTCCAACAGATAAAATAACTAAGGATAATAAAGGAGATTGTGAAAGATGGCGCACTGTCTTGGAAAATGTAAAGAAAAAATACTCTAGTTCACCTAACTTGCTTAGAAAAAATTCTATCGAAACATCTATTAATAAAACCAATCAACAAGAAACTATTCAAAAACGGGATTCGCTGCTGAGGAAAAAAGCGGAAGCACATCCTGAAATTTCAAGTATAGAAAAATGGTGTCAAACAAGTATAATTGGCAAAGAAAATCAATTAGTACAGTGTAATTTTTCTACATCCAATAGTGCAGTAGAAGATCAAAGTGTTACATCTCAATCCAGTTTTATATATGTTGCGCAAGAATTCGAAAGCACCGGAAATAATTCTGGACAAACGAGCACAACAAATGAGTCGCATACCGTGGAAACATTCGTGAATAAAAAATTACACGAATCAGTTCATAAATATATTGAAAGCAAAAATTTGAAAAATGTTAATGCAAAAACGAAAGAAATTGATCTTGGAATTTCGCTATTATGCTCTCTGATTGAATCTAACAATTTCAACAATCATCAAAAAAAAAAGTTAGCTCAGAAAATTGTTTTAAAAATTACAAAACATCGTCCCATTACTACAGAAAAATTAAAGGAAGATTCCTCCATAAATAGCATAGTTAGTAATATTGAAACCTTAAGTAGTACATCAAGCTCTGAAATCAAAATAACAAGTAGAAAAGCTTCCGTCGATGTCGGAACACAAATTACAATTGGCTTAGACCAACTTCATCCTGATAGGATGAATTTAGAAAGCGGAAGTTTCTTAAAATCTTCCGCTTTGAAAACACAAAGTTCTTCTCAAGGAAAAAATGTTTCAAGAAATAATATTGAACGTTCAAGTAAATCTACAGCACATCAAATAGATGAATCCAGGAAAGTTAATCAGTTTTCTAAAGGGAGTAATCCGCAATTATTTGAGACTATGAAAGAATGGTTAGAACCATTGACTAATTCTGAATTTGAGTATGACAAAAAACTGAAAAATAAATCAAAGGAAAATATAAATGCTCACGAAAAAGTTAAATCTCTTGAAATTTTAGAAAAAAAAAGAACAGCGCTGGACAGTGAAAGCGATATTCAGAAAAAGATTCATCTTAGTTGGATCGAAACCGAAATCAAAAGATTAGAAAATTTAAAAAGTTTACTGATAAATGAAGATAACAAAAAAGAATGTAATGTTCAATGCTCTGAAAACACGGAAGAAGAAAAATCAAACAAACTAAGAGAATATGACAGTGTTTTTGAGTCGAATCATCTAACTAAGAAGTTACCAGATACAAAAAGGAGCCTAAAACCGCCAACCTACAACGACAGAAATTTTGGCTCCAGATTAAACGAACATAAAATAAAAAAAATTTTAGAAAACATTTCGAATACTATCAGTGAATCTCAAATGACGCGATCAAAATTGAAAACTCCTATTAAGGAAAACAATGACCATGATTCAAGTGACAGTATCAGAACTTTTGCTCAAAACAGAAAACGAGAGTTCATCGAAAACTATAAAATTGCTCATTCCAGCATACGAAGTTATGATCATCCAATGGTGTCAGATCACTATTCCGAGCCAGGGTATAAAAATATTCCAATCGCAAATAAAGACTTTATTTTTGGCTCAAAATATTGTAATACTAGTGAATCAACTTTGAATGATTTTATTTCATCAGAATCAATTTCAATTCCCGTAGTGAATAGCGGTAATAGCTCAACTTCAACTACTCATCAATATGATGCTACGGCAATTGATGGAATTGGAGTTCAAACTTCTGATTCCGTACTGCAAACTACGCCAATATTTGGCTTTCTTAAGGAAAAAAAATGTGAAAACGATAGGAATGATCACACGAATAAAACAACCCGTGTTTATGGTCCCAAAGGGAAAAGTGAACAAATTCAAGTTAAACCACAAACAATTTCATATACAATTAAAGTAGGGGATAATGAAAAGACCGAAGTAAAATATAATGAAAACTTAAGTTTGCGCGACCATCTTCAGTCTCAATGCCCGAGGTTTTGTGAAAGATCATCTAAAAGACAAGAAATTTTGAAAGAAATGCAAAGGTTAAGAAAGGAGAGGGAAGAAAAAATTAGAAATATTGCAGAGAACACAAGCTTAAATTCAATCAATAGAAAGTTAAACTACATTCCGCCGCCAGCTACCAAGTGCATTCGAGTTTTTTCAACAAAGGAAATGAAAGCCTTAACAAGAAAAAAACAAAAATGTTTACCTGAAGTAGTGAACAAAGTAGAAAAAGAGAAAAAAGAGAAGCACCGCAAGGGAACTAAAATTTTGACTGATGTTTTCAATAAACGTTTGCAAAGGCAAGTTCACAAAGGAAAACTTTCGTTGGAACATAGTATTACAGTAATATAAAGCCTACATATATTAAAAATTATAAAGTAAACTTAAAGTTATACATAATTTGTATTTTCGAATTAAAGATAATGTTGTATTTATGAAAAATTGTTGTGTTTGTTCTTGAATTATTTTACCATAAAAAATATGTTTCACAAAATTAATAAAAAGTATCTATATTCATCTTCCTAGAGTGCAATACCCAACGGAAAAATGCTGTTTTCTTTTGGCAGCACCCTTGTTTTGTTTATTCAAAATTTTTGTTTGACATTTTGTTTATTCAAAAATTTTCAAAAAATATTTTTGTATTTGGTATTCATGTTATTTTTGATTTTAAAATATTTTTAAATTTCAATTTACTACAAATTATGTAATATGGATTTTTTTAAAAAGTTTTTTTAAGCATTTCCTTTGATTTGAGAAAAAACCCCAGAAATAAATCATTCATAATAAGAAAATACCGAATCTGAATCACAATAGGAAAAAATTTGGTAAACATATTTTACTTTAACAAATTTTTGTCGCAAAAATTTGTAGTTAAACACTATGCATAATATGCTATTCGAGAAATACATGTTATTCGTTGTAGTGTGAACCGGGTATAATAAAGAAAGAATGTTATTAAATATAAAATATAAACAAAATTTAAAACTGATATACCTAAAACTATTCTTTTTTTCGTGAAATTTGTCACGAAATTTCAAAACATTTACATACTTACTTTTCTTCATCTAATTATAATAAAAATATAAATTTTTGTAGGTTTCAAGAGTATCTGAAGCTGTTAGTTTAATTTATTTGCTTTTAAATTTTAGGCGAAAATTAATTTTTCTACTACTAGTACGTCATTGCTTCATATGTATGCTTCACATAATCTTTTTCGCGTTTATGACTAAGTATTAAGTCTAAATAAACGCGGTATGCGGCATTCCAAATCAGTGCGGTAGAATATACATACAATTTATTGCTTTAAAAATATAGTTGACGTTTGTATAAAAAATATAATTTTTTAATTAGCGTACATCAAAGTAGAACCACTTACATAAAAATATTTGTTTTTTTAACAAATGCACAGAGCGCCTATTTCACTTTAGCGCTAAAAAACCACATAAATACATTATTTTTGACTTTATACATAAAAACCTATTAAGTTTTTTTGATCTTTTGACAATCGCATGAGCGAATGGTGGTGTCTGCCACAAATAAATCTAACAAATTTTGTTTGAATTGACAAAATTTTCACAATTTGTTTTAATTTTTTCTTTGAACTGTGAACAAATCTAAAAAACAAGAAGAATAAAATTATGTACAATGTGAAAATGACTCATATGTCAGAAATGTAATCGCAAGAGGTATAAATAGAGTATAGACCACCAACCGGTATTAAGTTGAAAACAAAATAATTCATAAAATTAAAACAAATCAATTTAAACTTAAAAATCAAAAAATTTTTTTTTAAAAAGTAATATTAATTTTTTTTTTGTTAAAAGATTATATTTTGCAAAAAATTCCAGAACTAATGGCAGACCCACGGTTAAAACAGATTACTATTAAAACAGGTGTTTTAAAGAGACTTGCTAAAGAAGTTACAGTTTATCAGAAAGAAGCTGACGTGCAAAAGACAAAAGTAGAAAAGTTAAGAGAAGCAGATCCGCAAGATGAATACATGCTTAAAAAACAAGAAGAAGTTTTACAAGAATGTTTAATGATGATTCCTGATTGTCAAAGGAGGTGAATTTTAACATACGTGCCTACATACGTTTTATTACAATATTAATATCTTTAACTTTATAGAGTCAAGAAAGCATATGAAGAACTTAAGGAATTGCTTGATAATGAAAAGGAACTCAATGAAACCAAACAATATACGTCAGCTATAGAAGTTTTAGAAACTGTAAAAGAAACAATATAATTTTGCACAAAACATCTTTAGACTTAACCATCTTTGAATCAGCACTTAATTTTAAATACAGGCACATAAATACAAAAAAATTTAATCGTACAATTAATAGAGGTGAAAAAGTAAAAGCCATATTATTCTTCATTCCAAAATTTAATCATTTTCTGTTTAGCTGTCTAATTCTTTCAAATTTTTCTATACATTTAGTTTATAGTCTATAAAAATGAGTTTTTGCGTAAATATAAGTACCGCTAAAAGTGATGTAAAACAGATTATTCTTACATTTGGAAAATTACATCATGCCTATAATTATTTAAAAAACATTGTGGAAGTAATTTCTGAAGAAGAATTTGATGAATTGATGCGAAAATTTCGAGTTGACGAAAATATTTTGAGTAATTTACTTACGAAATGTGAAGATGAAGAGTTCCAAAGAAGCTTGAATAAAAAGTTATGTAAAAGAGCAAAAAAAAGGACGAAGATTAACTTAAGACATAAAGTTTTGCGTATAAAAAATAAAGAATTACATGAAACCATGGATGAATCTTTGAATTTTTCAAGAAAAAAAATTAATGAAACCATAAATAAAGAAAATATTTGTAAGCAGATAAAGAATAATTTATTGGCTCTTAAAAGAAAAATATTGACTGCAGAGAAGCGAATTAAACAAATTGAAGTAAAATATGTATCAATTGGGGAGAAAAATGAAATAAATTCCAAAACAAGAAAAGTATTAAAATCATGGCGGAAAAAGCTTGATGAATATAACAATGAAGAATCAACTTTAAAAGACGCATTATCATTTTATTCACAGTCTCTCGAAGATCAATGGCATAAAACTTTATTCGGCAACAAACAGCGTAATCGTAAAGTCACTAATTTCTCAGAAATACGCAAATTTTTTGGCATTCGCAAAATTTGGGATTCTTATTTGGTTACCACAACAGATTCGAGAGGTAGTTCTATTCCTTTTGGATGGGTTTTTCCACCTGAAAGACCTTCGGAGCTGTGGGCTGAGTATTTACGTAAGGATGACTCAATTTTAGAAAAAATTTAATACGAAAACAGGAATTTTCAATTTATTTCATATAATTTTTCTTAAAATTTTAATATATGTATATACCTATTAAATATGTTAAAATTTTAGTTTAAAATCAATGCTATCTATTTATTATTTTAATAACACACAAACGTTCACCAGGAATGCGTCTTTCCATCAATTTACTTGCAACAAAATTCCGTTTATTTAAAGCGTTTATAATTTCGTGAGGTTTATTTTCTTTTAACAACAGCAAATAAGCAACGCCAGATTTAGATAAAATGTCAGGCAAACTATTAAGAAATAAATCAATAATCAATCTGCCGTCAGTTCCGCCAGCCCATGTGAAAACCAATGGATTTTTCTCTTTGTTCTCGAGTTCTTCCTCAGACGTTGCCACATACGGGGGGTTAAAAATTACCAAATCAAATATGTTATTTCTAAAACAATCTGCCAAATTTGTGTTAATTGCATCAACATGAGTAAAATTTTTTGCAGCAGTTTTTTTGGTCATTTGACACGCATAGTTATTTATATCTGTAGCTAGACACACTGAAAACTTATGTAACCTTTTTGCTAATGAAGTTATTATTATTCCGCTCCCACTCCCAATTTCTAAACAAACATTAGGTTGCAGTATATTTTCAATATATTGCAAATCGTTTTCAATTGCGTCTAACAATAAAAATGTATCTTCCGATGGTTCGTACACATTTTCATAATCTCTTTCTGTCAAATGACTGTAAATAGGAGTTTCCATATTTATTTTTAATCACCGATAGCTTCAACCGAAGGTTGTACTGTCAAACTTTGGTGATATTTGTGGGAATCAACCAACTGATGTAACCGTTCCAATCTTTCCTGGCTAGATTGTAGAATATTGGCAATTACGGTAACTTTAGTTTTTATTCCGTTAATTTTTCTTGCTTTCAAATTTAAATCAGGAAATTGTTGCTGTATATCTTCAATTTTATCCAAAGTATCATCAAGTTGATTTAGTTGTTCAGTGAGGTCACGTTGCACGGCTCTCAAAGACGTAATTCTACGAAAATAAAATTTGAATTGTAAACACGTTTGAATATGTTAATACCTTTCATCTAATTTGTCAACAGTGGGTTTAAACACTGAGATAATTCCTTCCGCTAATATATCTCTAGTTGGATTATCACAAAAATTTTCTTCAGTATTTTCATCTAGTGAGGTTACTGTACTGTCCGTATCAGCCATAATATTTGTTCCACAGTAAAACAAAATGTATTTATGAATGTATTTATATGATTATTCTAAAAATTATAAGTCATTTTTTTCAAATTTAAATCCTTATAAGTCTGTTTTTCTATACTATTAAACCAAAAAATATACTAGAATATATACTAGAATATACTATCTTTTTCTCTTTTAAAATGTCATATTTTCAAATTCAAAACAAAAAAAAACAATGAGTGTGGATTGAGTAACTGACTAGGGATGCTACGGGTCGTTTAAGCGCTTCCAACATTTCTAACTAGGGATGCGACGGGTTGATATTATAAGCTATTTTGCATTTAATACACAAACTTATAAGCTTTATAAAAATTGAAGTTTTTAAATTTTAATCAGAAATGCAACTATTATTTAATTAAAGACAAGTAGTTTTAATTTTAATATACACTTCGACGTTCAATCAAGCCATTTCGAAGTTGGCCTCGAGATATATTTTCTAGTAAAGCGAATTGTATGATATGCGTTGTCATATTCCATTTAAACGACTGGGACGAAAATCTGAGGAATTGATTTAGTTTTTAATTTTTGTCTCGTGAAAGACTTATTACTGTATGTAGTTTTTTGACAGTGTTATAAAGCGCGAAATTAAATTTTATTTTTTAAATTGTTCAGCATCTGTGTTCGGCTTGGCATAACACAGCGCTGGACTAGACATTGAAAGATGACAGTTCAAACAAAAAAAAAAAGCTGCGAGAAAACAGAAAATTTTAATGTTAAGTATTTTATGATTTTTAAATACAAAATTGATATGTATACGATGATGTTAGAAATATAGGATTAATGTATGCGATCCTTCACGAAACAATTTAAAGAAAACTCGATTGTTTTTTAGTTCATTTCTTTTAAAAATAGCGCACAACTTATTACTTAATAAATTTCGCTGAGTTATTTTTTAATTTTTGTCTTCTAAATTTTGTTTTTAATAAAAAGTATATAAGTATATGTATATCATTTTTGTTTCAAATACATTTCTATAACCTTAATAACCAATTTGAAAAATAATTTGACAGATCTAGCGAAGTTTATACAAAATTATATTCTTGTAAATGAATTATTTCAATGGGTCGTTAAAATTATATGAACTCAACCTGTCAACTAATAGAAAGAAATAAGCAAGTATGTATGGACACAGTTTGCTAAAAATTTTAAATGTAATTTAGATTAAACTGATAAAAGCTAATGTACAAATTAGTTTTGTAATGGGAAATTTAAAAGAAAATTGATTTAAAAAATTGACTAGTTTCTGATGATGGGTGGAAAAAATAAGTATGTAAAATAAGTATGCACTTGACTATAGCGCATAATGGTGATCCTAATTTAGAAAATATAAATTATTACAAATTTATAAGTAAACTGATTAACTTAAAATGAGCATTCTGAGTTCGGTCATAACATAAATACATATGTATTTGTACATGTGTTATGTTCTAATAATAAAATAAGATTTTTTTAATTTGAAGTTTGATTATTCTAAAGGGCTGAAGAACCTACCTGTCTATGATGCTAAATTAACTCAAAATATACCAAATTAAGTTTAAATTGAAAGTATAATAAATATTATGTATGTAAGTATTTCTATTTAAGGTATTTAGTACATTAAATAATAATTTTAACTTATAAAATTACAACTAAGTATGTTTCAATTAAATAATTATTGTGCATTATCTTGCAGTTTTTGTGACTTTTGTTTAATCACTTCCTGTGCAATACTTTTCCATCTTTGCAAATTTTCTTGACATTTATTTAGTAAGGGTTCCGTTTCAGGTATCAACTTATGTAATAATGAATAACATGGCAAACAAATTGCACTTATGAAACCAACTTGAGAGTTCGGTTGCTCTTCTGGTTTTAAACGATCCATCATTGCTATTGGTTCTCGACCAGCAGCTCGCTCTGCGTCGCCTTGCTCGTAGAACTCCTCAAAAATAACTTTAACAGTATTTTCTTGCACTTCCCATGGTTTTGCCGAAGCTGATAAGTCACTTGCTGTCATTGCGATTGCTTGTACTAGCAGTCGGTGCTCATTATCGTTCCATGAGAACTTTTGATCATCTACCAGAGCTTGAAGTTTCGCACGATTAGGAAAAAATAATGCTAAATCTGTTGCTAATATACAATGCTTGATTAAACCCAGAACAGTTTTGTATTCGTTACTTGATAGTTTTGCAAATATATTATGACCATCCTAGAAAAACAATAGTTGTTATAGATCTTTGATTTTTATTAAAATGGAAATCTTCAAACCTGCTGAAGAATGGCCACAGTTTGATTAAAATGATGATGCTCCATAGTAGATGTTGAATAAATTGCTGCAATAGGAGATTCGGTATCTAACATAAATTTGTTATTTTTACCTCGATGATCCAGATCGTGACATAAAGAAGCAATGTATAAAGCTAAACACTATTTAGTAAGATTAAAATAAAATGCAAAATTTTTTTTTACGTTATTATAATTTGAATATGTATAGAAGCACAGTTGGTATAACAATTAATATATGTTTACCTCAATTGGTTTAAATGCATCTGTTGCTTTTTTTATTAAAGAATACATTGAATTGGCTACTGAAAATCCATGACTCCAGTTATGATATGGTACTCTACGGTAATTCTTTTTTATTGTAAGCGTGAACCGAATTAAATTATTTTTATCAAATCGTCGAAGTCCAAATAGATCAACAAACATGTACGTTGCAAATTTAATTTTTTGGAAATCATTATAAAGAAAAGGATTGAAGTAATAATTATCAATTTCAGGAACTGAATCTGGTGTTTTATCTTCAATAAAGTTTCTCACTTCATCATCTGAACTTGTATTATGATAACTGAGTACTTCAATTGCCACTTTGTATTTTTGTTCAGATTTTCTTATTTTGTCGTATAGTTTTGCGTGATGTAATGCCAATCCACAATAAACTGCAAACATTTCAAAAGCTTCTTCATCTTCTTTTGTGAAATAACCACTGCGTTTATTAACCATTTGTACAACACCAATTATAGAACCTCGAATATATATTGGCATGCATAATATTGAATCAGTTTTATATCCTACAAAATTAAGAGCCATTGTAAATGTTTGAAGAAATAATATTTAGAAATAAATAACCAGTTTTCTGATCTACTTCGCGATTGAATCGGGGATCAGAATAAGCATCTTTAATGTTAAGTATTTCACCAGTTAATGCAACTTGACCAGCTATTCCCGTTCCAATAGAAAAACGTATTTCTTCTCTTGGTTTTTTGTTATCATTATTATCATTTTTTGCATTGGGGGAATCAGTATTCCCATTTTGGTAATCATTTATACCAACATCAAATATAGTCGCATATAGCTCTTTGCTCTTCGAATCCACTAAAAAAAGTGAAGCGCGATCGGCATCTACCAAACGTTGAGCAAAATTCATTATTTTCGAGACTAACATATCTATGCTAACCATATCTTGAAATATTGATCTAGTAAAAGGGCAAAATTAAGTATAATGCAACAAATAAACTAAAGTTATAGTAATTCCATACTTAACAACGGCCAAAAGAAAATCGTTTAATTTTCTTTGTTTGTTCATATTCATAAATAAAGCTGCATAATGTAAAGCTATTCCACCCCAAACCAAATAGCTAATAGAAATTTCTTCATCTTCTTCATGGAAGGGAAAACCACCATCTTTTCTATATAATTCTATAACAGCAATCAATTGACCATCCGGTTGACACACTGACTGACATAAAATATGTGCTATATCACTCTAAAAGGAATAAAAAAAACAGGAAAAAAATTCAAGATATTTTCGATTCTCTTTTTTCATTAAATTTCTTACTTTTCGTGGCAATGCATCGGGAAACTTCGTATTTGAATCACCTTTTGATAAACGTACTTGTTCTCTTGTTCTAGCAACGTATAGAGGAACTGATATTCCAGAACGTAACTTCTGTAATTTGGCAACTCCAGCTGAGTTCTGGCCTAGATATAATGATAAATTTTCCGGGTCACCATTTTCCGTTATATATAAATTGAATCCATCTGCATTTATTGCTGATGATATACAATTAGCTAATTCCCATAGAACGTGTGCTTTGGTTGGCCTTAACTGCAATGAATGTGTTAAATCTTGCAACATTTGCCTCTTGTCAGCATGCACACAAAATTTCCATCTTGATAAACTTGTTTTACGATTGCCAAGACCACCTAGTGATTGTGTTGTGGCTTTACGGGATCTTTGTGTTCGCCTTATCATCCATCGTTCTAACAATTCTAATTCAACTTCATCCATAACATGTTTTTCCAAAAAATCCGGATTATCACGTAAAAAATCTCTTACTTTACTAGCAGATATTCCATCTTAATTGAGCAAGGAAATAAAAAAATTAAATAAAAAAATTTGAAATATTAACAAGTGTATATATTTTGTTACCCTCTCCATTACTGTAATAACTTTCATCTGAATCAGCTTCATTATTTTCGTGTACTGAAATAAAAATCAAAAATGTTTATTTATTTTTTTAAAATGGAATATGTATGTATTTATAAATAAAGTTTTTAAATAATATTATGTATTACACATGTATTTCATTTTGGACAGATGGCAGCTTATGAAAATTTAGGGCATTCTGTGGGACATTTTAGGCTTATTCATAATAATGAGGATCTTCAAAGATAAAATTTTATACTGTACTCAAAAAGCCATATTTTGCAAATTAATAAGAATTACTAAAGTGAAGACTAGAACTGCGTACCTACTAACATTTTTGTTTTATAAATGCTATTTGCTTTCCTCAGCGAAATCTTTACATTATTAGAATTTTTTTTAAAATATAGTACATTTGTATATTATTTTAGATACGCATATTCTATATGTGTTTGCTAACTGTTTGCTAACTAAATATTACCATTGCTTGTAGAATTCGTGATAAGATTTCCCAAATTTTTATATCACGCTTTTCACATTTTTACCGACCGTATTGTGTATACACTAGGTAGGCGATGTGATGGCAGCAAATTTTGCATATCGAGTTTTCGGTGGGAATGCACTTCTCCATAGTAGGGAAGTGTAAGTAAACTATTTTTAGCGACCTATCGGTCTGTGTGTGCACGCGTGTGTCTCAAGTTCGACTGAACCGATTTTGATGAAATTTTATATGTAAGTTTATTTCGACCATGGCACGGATTGATCAACTTTTTGGATAGACATCGGGAACTGCACTTTTTAGCGGGCCTGTTTTAAATTTTTGACCATTTTAAAGAAAATATTCATCCGATTTGCTTGAAATTTCATATATAAGCTTCGCTTGACCGTCCGTGAAACCTCCTAACTTTGAAACCTCCTAAAGAGAAATAATCAACCGATTTCATTGAAATTTAATATTTAAATTCTTCGTACTAAAACAATTAACATATAGATTTTTTGGAAAGATCAGGGCTCGAAAACTGATCTGCGGGCCGATTTTACGTTTTTCACCATATATACGGAGCGAATTGATGGAATTTCTTGAAATTTGATATTTGGGTTCTGGTTGTTACCGAAACTAACTGAAACGAGCATTTCAGCGAATTCGGGTTGCACAAAGCGAAATTCTACTAAGAGCCAAATTTACATTTTTATAGGTATGTAAACTATAAGCTTATTAATGTCATAAAAATTGGAAAGAAGTATTTAACAGACATTTTTATAATATTCTGTAACACTTTCATTTAACTAGACAATACACATTGCGGTGGGTTATGTGCTGATCACATCAGATTTTTTAATTTTCAATCATTTATGATTTAATCTAAGTAAACCACCAGCAAATACCATTTTTGCTTTGTTTTTTGAAATTTTATGTGATCATTTTATGTTTTGTATTTTACAAATTAATTATGAATTTAATATAAAGTTCCTGATATGTAAACTTTGTTCTGAAAATGATAAATTCTTTAACTGAATTAAGAACGACTGGCTATCAGCCAAAATTTAAAATTATAAATTTTATTTTTCCCCTTGGTTTGTGAAAAAAAAGATACAAATTGCAACTGATTTGCAATTTATTAGTCTAGTTGCATTAATTTAAATTTATTTTTATCTTGTATGTACTCCCATTATAATCTAATGGGGTTAATTGATTTTGTTTTTAATTATTATACATACGAATATTGTACTTTATAATATACATATTATGAATCTATCTACAACAAATAAGCAGATAAAATAAACAACGAATATGCAGATAAGAATATATGCATAAACATATATGTATGTACGTACGTAGATATATTGCAATGCAATCCAATGCAAAACGCCCTAAAATCAATTGTAATATAAATTATGTACAGGTAAAACAAATATTTGATGGTTGTGGAAAATCGAATAGTCTTAGGGAATATTATCAGTACCTTAGTCACCTATTTCAAAATAGGTTTTCTAATTTTTTAATTTTTTTACAAATGATAAGAGAAAATTATAGAAACTTAACAATACTTAAATATACTATCGCAACTTTATGTTATACATTTTAAATGCCCATAAATTCAAATTTTAATTTTAATGTCTGTCTGTTTAAATTATATGTGCATATGTATGTAAATACGCAAATAGATATGTTAAGTTGTCATCGACTATATTGTACGAAAATTTTCTTTAGAAATTATTGAAGTTGGATTATAAACTCAGATAAATTTACAGGGCCTACTGAAACTTATAATAGCAATGTGTGCGCTTATGTGTATTGATTACTTGTTTAATAAAACTTCGTACAGGTAAGTGATTAGACGTGCAATCAGCCAAATAATTTCGGTATAACTACATATATTCATTTATTTAAAATTAGAAAGGTTTGAATTTTTCATAAGATCATGTACTTATTTAAGAGACGTTCGTTATACATAAATATAATAGTGTGAATTTTTATGATTTTCAAAGTAAAATCTGATTTATGTATGTAAATATATCAAAAAAGGTATATTGGCCGTAACTTTGTTTTAGATTTTAGTCAAGTTTCAACAGGGCTTTAAACTTTTCGAAAAAAATGTAGTTCAAAATGCTCCAGAAAGCTCCCAGAATACGCCTCTAAAGTATTTAAATAAATAATTAAATCACAGTAATTAATTTATTTTAATTTTAGCAACTTTTGAACACTACTAAATAATTTGTTTTGTTTAAAGAACACTTCTTTCCACCTCCACCACTTTTCAAGCTATCACCTCAAGAAATTTGTTGAATTTCCGGCATCTTACATTTCCGAAACTGTGTAAGTTTTTCCAAATTTCTATAAATGTGGAAGAGCGGTAAATACGATGTCAACAAAAAACATAATTATTTTCTTAACTCAAGCAATTAACCCTTGGATTCAAACATTATATTAATACGTCTTTCAATTTTTTTCCTCATCCTAAATGTATGCATAAAATATTGAAATATTTTTGTATAGATATGAATTTATATAGCAAGTAATTTAAATGTGTAATTGAGTAAACATATGTTTACATATGTAATTGATTGTTTTTAAAAGCAGTATTTTAGCAGCATTAGCAGAAAAAATTAATAATGTTTATGTATGTACAGATTAGGTTAGCAACATTGGTTTATGAACATAAAAACAGCGGTGTTTTCACTATATAACACTATATACCGCGTTTAAGAAAAGGCCTTATACATTACTTTGGTCTTATACAATTGTCTAATACATAACTTTGGCAAATATGTGTAAGAAAGGATAATATCACTTTATTTATGATTAAAATAATTTTAATTCTAAAAGAAGAAGTTTTAAGGGGTAATTTGAATTTACTACATTTTAAATCAAAAATTAAACAACAAATAAGGAAAAAAAGATCTTTTAAAATAAAGTTTTAATTATTTCAAAATTTTTTAAAACAATTGAAATCAATCAATGTCGTAGAATTTCAAAAAAATCAAAAAAATTTTTCTAAAATATTGAATATTTGCAATTATCCACTTCGCTGGAATAACAAAGTTTTAATCGCTATAAATCATGTATATAAAGCAAATAAGTCTTTCTCAATTTTGTGTATGTATGCTGCTGTATTATATGTACATACATATGTACATATGTAAGATACTTTATTTGAAAATTCTATATTTAAATTCTTAAGTTAAATTATGCTGTTATTTATTATATTTTCAAAGTTTAACATGTGTACATATGTATGAAAAAATATTCTGATTTTTTGATTAAAATTAAAACCAATTAGACTATAATTGGTTGCTTGAATTTAAACAACTAAGATATTGGTTCTTTCAAAAATATCTATTTGATCTGATAAGAAATCCATTTTAAAACTATTTACGTGCATATAAAGTATAGTTTTTAGCACATTCCCAAAAAATTTTGGAAGAAATAAATCTTTTGGATTCACTCGGTGTACCTGCCTGTTTTTCTCTCTACCAAACTTCTACAGCGTTTAAGATAAAAAGATAAAATTTTGTACACAAATACATTTTAGCAAAAGCGGTATTTTGCTAGAGCAAAATTTTTTTCTTGTCCCCCTGTCAGGGTCGTGCAAAATTTTATATTTTTAACTACTTATTTCTTCGACACTTTTGCCATTATGGAAACTGTATAAAAGCAAAAATGTTACAGAAATTGTCCTCTTACCCATAGTATTCTTTTTTAACTTAACTAAATTAAATTGGCAACCAAATTCCAGTTTTACATGAGCATAAATTTTCGGAGAATTGTTTTTCGAAAATTTTTTCCAAATTTACACTAAATGTTAGCAAGAATTATTTCAATTGCTTGTTTTCATTAAATCTAGAAAACGTGCTACTTTGCAAACCATGAGTTTGACGATAAAATTTTTTGTAGATACTTTGTATATCAAAAGTAGATCTTAAATAAAAAATGGAGCTAGCGGGACGCATAAATATAAAAATATGCTACGGTTTTTAATAGCTTTCTGTGCGTAATAATTACATACATACATATTTGCAAATATTATATGCGAGTGCAGAAATATAGTTTCATTCAATATGTTTTAATTTTAATTGCATTCAATAAATTTAAATTTTGTAGGTCAAAATGCTTTTATTTGTGTAATTAAGATAGGTTAAATATGTGTATGTGATATTGATTTAGAAATTATGTAAGATTTAATTTTTTTTTTAGTTTATTAAATTTTTTATTACACTTGCCAATTTTTTTTTCGTCAAATAAACATATTTTAAATCAACGCATACAAGGTTTCTATTTTTGGTATTATGGAAAGCCTATTTGACACCAATCTATTTATGTATTCGCATTTATTTTAAGATTTGTTGATTTCTCAAATTTGAAAACAAAAATATATACATATAAAATGCATATGTATATAGGCATAAGTAAGGCAATATAATATGTTTATTATGTGTATATAAAATGAATAATAACAATTTATAGCATGTTCATATAAGCATGTTCACACTATAAAAGTGTATATATATGTACGTATAGTATAGTATAATATGTGCCGAAACGCATTCTGCAAAAATGT